CTATTATTATATTGTAAACTATATAATTTAAAAATTATCAAAAGATAGATCAGAAGTACTATTATTATATTGTAAACTGTATAAGTTTAATTGAATATGAAAATACTGGAATATTAATTTGACTTTTATGTTATATCGTGAAAGAAATATTATAGCAACAGTGTGAAACTGTGAATGCAAAATCCAGGACATTAACAATTTTTTATAAAAAAATTAGATGAACAAAGTATTCTCCGTTCGTACAGAATTTAGAAAAAAAATCATAATTCAAACGCTAATAATAGACAAACTTAAATGAAATGTATATATAATTGACTAAAAATAAAAACAACAATAATATCTCTCCCAATGAATGGTCTTGAGTTATTTGAAAATTTAATTTCATTTTTGTTGCGAGTTATAATAAGCGAATGTAGATTAAAATTAGATAGTGATATTTTTTGTCAAAAAAGTTTAAGATTTATTTTATATTCATAAAAGATTGATTTTATATGTATCATATAATTTTTCGATACTAAAAATTATTTGAATCCTAAAACGTTTTGAACTTTCAAATGAGAAATTTATCGTAGATGTTAATGGTTATGCAATTACATGACCTACTTTGGGGAAAAAAGGTTTAAAGCCTTTTTAGATTATTCATTTATGTCTTGGCTCTAAAAGGTTAAGGCATTTACTAGGGTAGTACTTTTTTGGAAATGAAATCAAATTCAGAAATCAGAATAATGGCTATGGCAATTAATACTACGAAAATTATTATGTACTATATGCTATAGTAAAAAAAATCTAATAATATTGACATTTATATTTAGTTGGTAAAATCTCTCAGAGCTATTTCAAAAGAAATATTCATTTAATTTTGAGGATATATTATAACAAAATCAATATATTAAGTGTGATTTTATGAATGAGGTTATATTTCAGAATAATAGATTGTACCTAAAATTTAATCCTACTTTTTGCATAATTGCAATAGAATATATCATAAATGTATTCATTATTTTTGGGGTATGACTTTGGTGGAAGACATAATGTGAAAGCGAGGTCGAGATGATCTGGACATGTGATGAGGGAGATGCACAAATGTTTCATTGTGAAGGTATGAGAAGTTGACTAAGGATGGATTCAAAAGAGATAGATGTATACGGAATAAGTATTAAGGAGCGATGATTAGACAAAAAATGACACAATTATAACTTATCAAAAATATAATTTTAAATAAAAAGAATCGTGAGACCAAACTAGATATCGATAGAGAAATGCATTTATTTTCTCATTTAAGGTGCTTCTTAGGATTCTCTTCTTTTCAAGTCAGAAAGTTACCCCACGGTTTTACCCTTGTACTCCATTTACTAGATTTACACGGCTAATTTTAACTTATTGCTTTGTCTTTTTTACTTTTTGGTATTTTTCCTCTTTACCAGTGTTGCACTTGTAACCATAATAATTAAACATAATCGTCAAAATAAAAAAAAAACAATTAAATACTATTTCTTTGATTTAATTTTAATATCAATTTTTAATCCAAAAATAAAATTGTTAAATCTATATTATTAGAAAACAAAAAAAAAATTCAAATATCATAAAAATGTAAAATGTAATAATTTGAGGACCATCTTATATTTGGGCCAAATGCAATACAACAAACTCAACGTTGGCCCAAAGTATCTAATTTGCAAATCCTTTTGTGCCGATAAATGGGATGATCGATATTGATCGTAGGTAGTAGTGGTGATGGTGGCGGTCGGTGGTGGTGGTGACTGGTGGTGATATATTATAATGATATGTAATGTCTAATTGTGATAATGAACGATTATGGGTGATTGACAATGTATTTGTACTATTGATAATAGTGATTGATGATAATGATGGTTGATAGTGATGATTGTAAATGATACTAGACACGTTGATAACTATGCTTATGATTGACACCAATAGCAATAATGGTTGTGGATACTGATAATTATTTATAGTCCGCAGCAACGTAATAGTTATGATAGTTGATACTGATGTGTATTAGTGTAAATATATAATAACTAAAAGAAACTTGCTTCCTACCTCTTAATTGTTTCTTTTTGTTTTTATAATAAACAAATCATCTAAAAAAGGGGTTAACTATACTAAATACCTTTGTATTATAACTCAATTACGGATAAATTTAAAATTAAATACTTACATGAGTTACATCCCATATTTTATTTTGGTGGAATTTTCGTGGTGTAAGTCATTGTTTTTGAAATACAAGAAAACTTTTCATAACTGTTTGGTATAGTAACAAAAAGTGTTTGTAATTTTAATTATAGATTAATAGTTTATTGTGAAGAAATTCAAATAAAAAATTAGCCGTACACAAACACAATTCTGGCAAATGCAGAATATATATTGGGAATAATAATAATAATAAAAAAAGATAATGACAAGTAGTTGGACCTTAAAATTTGTGGACATTCTATATGGAGTATATAAAAAAAGTTTAGATAAATGACAGTTTTGGTACTAGGAGTAAATATCATGTAGTACTATAGGTCCACTAAATTGTGAAATAAAAAAGTGCATACTCTAAGACAATATAAAGTTTTTGTTTAACAATTTTTAATACCTCAAATAATATAACATATTTAATGAAGTTTTATAACTTCAGTAAATTATAAATTGTTATTTTTTTAATTTTAAATATAATTATTAAGTTGAATTTTGATTTTTTTTATAGCTAAGTACTAATTTTCAAATAAAGTGAAAAGTTATTTTGATTTTTTTTCAAAATATTCTTTATGGCCAATTAGTCAAAATATGATTCAAAACTCTTTAGCTGATTTTGTTTTCAACTTTGGAGACAGGAAGAAAAGGAAATCATAAAGAGAACAGGAACTTATTGATATTAGAACCCTGCACGCAAGACCTCGACAGATTATTGAGATTTCTTCATTTTTAATCGTAAATTTTTTCTGATAAAAATATCGATCTCAAAAATAAGTCTTTTAATAGATGAATTCGTATTAGATGAACTCAAGTACTCAATACAAACACTAAACATAAAAAAATAATGAAGCGGGGCAGAGCGTTTGCGAGTTCGATTCAACATTGACCTGCAATGACTTTAATCTGCCTTGCCTTAGACAATATTTTTCTTTTCGTCCCGTTCCGTCCGGCATAGCAATTTTTATTATTTTTTTTTACTAAATTATAAATTAAATTATTGAAAATAAAATAAAATGAAGAATATAGAAAAAAGAACATGGTAGCACGTGACAAAAAGCCCTAGATCCAAAGCATACGCACCATTAATATTTGTGGCTCCAATCTATAGGACTTGAATATTCCTCTTATCTTATGGTCATTTCAAGCCATTGAAACAAAATAACATAAGATATACATGTAAAAGAAATTATTATTTGTTTTTAAAACAAACTGATTTTTAAAAAATTTATATTTTAATTGTACAATATATAACCTACTTAATAACAAAGATATAAAAAGTTTAAATAATTGAGTCATTCATTCTGAAGTATAAATATTAATGTTTAAAAAATGAAATTCAAATTTTTATAAATTTTTGAAAAAATGCACAAGTACCTCCTCAATCTATGTTCGAAATTCTAGAGACACACTTATATTATACTAATATTTTATTATCCCCTGAATTTATTTTATAAGTAATTTTCTATCCCTTTTCGGCTTACATAACACTAACTTGAAAAAAAAGTCAACCAGTATTGGACTCACAAAATAGTGACACATAGGAAAAAAAGAGGTAGAAAATTATTAATAAAAAAGTTCAAATGACCTTAGTGTAATATAAGTGTGTCTCTAAGATTTCGAACACGAATTGAGGGGTACTTATGCATTATCTTAAAATTTTTGATAAAACGATAAGAATGTGTCATAGATAGATGATGATAAGAAATGGTTTTTGGTTGGATTAGTGATCTTTCTATTATTTCTAGCTTTGTGGTTTACAATTGAGATTGGAAGATGACAAAATTTTCTTTTCTTTTTGTCTTTAAGTAAGAAGTAGTGTTTAGCTTTGAAATTAAACTTGTTGATCACGACCAAATGATGGGCATATTCTTAACTTTACTTTGGGATCTCAACTCATTAAACACATCATATTCTACCTGTACATTAGTACTATGTTGTCATCACACATTAAAGAAATGATATGCCTCACTTTTTGGCAATGTTTACTCAAGAGATTTGAACTCCAAAGTAATAGAGAAATATTGTTTTATCTATTAAAAAAATTATTAGTTCAAATAAGCATCTAGAAAATTAAAAACCTCTTAGTTATTATTTTTTGAATTTCCTCTTAATTTAATTAAAAGGTCCCTCAAACACTTATTAGTTACTTATTCAAGATAGACAAAAGATAGTTAGGTCATTATTACTCATTCAAGATGGACAAAAGATAGTTAGACCAATGTGGGGTTAAGAACCTTAAGGGATAATTAGTGCACATTTATTTTAAAAAAATATTCAGTTATCGGTTATTAAATCTATTTATTTTTTTAGATTTGAATCTTACTTATCTAGATCTAAATCATCAATTTTGTTTTCTTTTTTCCCTTTCTATGTTATAAACAATTGAATGCGTTTAAATATATCAAAATAATTATAATATATGATAAAAATTTTACTAAAATATTCATTCAAAAAGTTTAACGAATTATATTTATTTACCAGCTATTATATTGCTCACCAGTATTAATTATCATTATGTTGTCAATCACTATAATCAACTGTCATCACTATTAATACCATCATTAACCATCAATGACTATTGATAATTATCATCACCAACTATTTAAATTCTAAACTTTTTTTCAAAAATTATAATCAATTGAAAATAAAAATTTAATTCACACGATTTAAATTTGTGACCTAAAACCCCGAGACAAATACCAAGAAGTATATGTCTACGGTCACGGGTAAACCCCATGCCACAAAAGAAGCAAGACAAACCGCGAAAATTAAAATTTTCTTTTGAATTTCTTTCTTATTATAACCAAAAAAAAAATAAAAAAATTTAGGCGGACAAAAAGATAATAATAATTCGACCAACTATTTGCCACCATTTTCTCCAAATCTCTTCTCCATCACTCACCTCCCTTTGTATTCTCCGTCCACCACCATCTCGCCGGCCAGGTAGCTGACTGACGTCATACTCCGACAAGGTGACGTCTTTCTCTACGCCTCCACTATGTCACAGTTATGACAAGGTCACGGAACCGTTCACCAACCAGAACAACAACCATTTCAACTGGCGGCGCCGGCGGCAGAGACGGAGGAGGAGCCACGACGGCGATGAGGGTGATAGTACCCTTACAAGGTGTAGTACAAGGTCGGGGTGGTCTTTTCTTAGGTTCAGTAATACCCTGTGCTCTTTTTTATTTTTGGCAACTCTACCTAAAACGAAATCGTTCCTCCGGTGGTGACAATAACGGCGAATCTACGGCACCGGCGAGGTCACCGTCGTCGACCCATTTGCCAGAAGTGTCTTCTGGGTCTGGGTTACAAAGGGTTCATTCACGTCTGTTATTGTCACCGAAGGGAACTACTGGGCAATCTCAGGTATCTGCTAGAGCTAATTCGATTATTTCTAAACAAATTGATAGTAGCCCTTACTATGTTGGATTGAAAAGAGCTTCTGAAGACCCTTATGATGAGTCGAGTAATCCAGATGGTGTTATTCAGCTAGGATTAGCAGAAAACAAGGTAATAATTTTGAATATTTGGATATATTGAATCATTTTCTAGAGAAATGTACCAAATGCAATACGTTTCTTGTTGGGAAGTGAATTTTTTTCCTTTCTACTTTGGTTTGTTGTTTTGATGATTTTGAATTTTGTCTCTATTTGTATGGTTACAGTTGTCACTGGATTTAGTTCAAGAATGGCTAGCAGAAAATGTGTCAAGATGGATGATGACTCAAGATTCGAGTATAACCGGAATAGCTACTTATCAGCCATTTGACGGGTTATTGGAGCTGAAAGTGGTAAGCTTTTTAGTTTTTCCTTGCATACTAAGATGGTTCTTCTTGAACTATTCAATTACTAGTAGTTGTTCATATGGTTAATAGTTTTTACAGGCTAGAGAAGGAAATTGAACAAAAAAATTGCTTGAAAAGGTTTGTAAAAACTTAAAGTTGGTAATTTGAATCAAGACTTTATAGGAATAAATCAATGAGATACCTTTTCAGGTGGTATTAGTTTATAATTATTACCTAGGATGGACTCATGTCATGTCTATATGCTTGTATAACAGTTACTCCATATCAATTATCACCCATCCTCTAGTTCTGTGTGCTTTATCGCTGATTTAATTTGAAATGTGAATCCCTGGCTGTGGATCGGTAATGGCATTTGACAATCCCAAAGTTACCTTTCGTATACAAGGGTATTGTATGTCCCATCTTGAGCTTTCTAAGTGTATAAAGTACAACAGACATAAGGAAAAGCAATGGTAAGCTTCACTTTCATTTTACAGTGCAACTGACAATTAACTTCTGAAAAGTTTGTCAACGCTTTAACTTCTACGCTATCGACGCTAATTATCATTTTGGAAAAATAAACACTGCTCTGAATGTTTTATAGAAATGATAGGAAAATTTTGAAACCTGAGAATGTGTGTGACCAGACAAAGCACCAAAACCGTATCCAGAGGGTAATTAAATTGTTAAACTTCTCCTACTTGAACATTACATTGGTAAAACTTGAGTGGAAACACGTAATTGTTGTGGATCTAGCTCAGATATTTATGTTGTTTCAGCTTTTGATAATTGTCTATGGTGGTGTTTGTGCTGACCAGAAAAATAGGACCTTGCAGTGTGATATGATAAAAAAATCTAGATTTCGATATTTCATCACATTAGAGAATAGTTTGACCTGCTTTATTCTGCATGGTTTTTGTTATAAGCAAGTTAATAGTGAATAATGGACTCAGTTGTTCTGAGAGGTGGCCTATTATTTCCTTGATTAATACTCACCTTGATACTCATCACTGTGTAACTTATCGAAGGACTATTGCTAGATTTGCCTGTTGAAGATGGAAGGCAATTTTGGCCTCTTTGAAATATCAGTTGGCTACCTTTGTCATCAGGTATCATATGGGTGGGAGATGATCTGATGGATTTGCCTTTTAAAATTGCGTGTTTGAGAATTGTATGACAGCAACATATGAAATTATCTTTGAGCCACTATGATGATTGATTCATAAAAACAATAAGTGTTTTGTGTGATTCTACATAATTATGGAATCTCTTTGAAATGATTTTTATGTTTTCTCACCTGTATGCAGGCTGTGGGAGAATTTATGTCTCAAGCTCTAGAGAGATCAGTGTCCTTCAGCCCCTCACAAATGGTTCTTACCGGTGGTGCAACTCCTGCGCTTGAGATACTGAGCTTCTGCCTAGCTGATCCTGGAAATGCTTTTCTTGTTCCCTCACCATATTATCCTGAGTAAGTCTCATTCTCCCTCAAAGAAATTTCGATCTTTTGGTCATTTTTACGTATTTAGTGTATAAAATGAGCTCAATGCATTTGCAGTCTTGATAGGGATGTCAAGTGGAGAACTGGAGTGGAGATTATACCTGTTCCTTGCCGCAGTGCAGACAACTTTAACTTGAGCATTGATGCTCTTGACCGAGCTTTTAACCAAGCTAAGAAACGTGGTCTTAAAGTACGAGGGATTATCATTTCTAACCCCTCGAATCCTGTGGGCAATATTTTCTCTAGGGAGACACTTTATAACCTCTTAGACTTTACAACTGAGAAGAACATCCATGTAATATCCAATGAAATCTTGGCAGGGTCAACTTATGGAAATGAAGAATTTGTCAGCATGGCAGAGATAATTGATTCCGAAGATTTTGACAGGAGCAGGGTACACATTGTGTATGGTCTCTCTAAGGACCTTTCTCTTCCTGGGTTCAGGGTGGGGGTCATCTATTCTTGCAATGAAAATGTTCTAGCTGCTGCGAAAAAATTGACAAGATTCTCATCCATTTCAGCCCCAACACAGCATTTAATCATCCAAATGCTATCAGATGCAAAGTTTGTACAACAATTTATCAAAAAGAACAGAGAGAGGCTAAGAAGGATGTCTTCTCTATTTGTCAGTGGATTGAAGCAGCTGGGAATTGAGTGCACCAGAAGTAGTGGGGGCTTCTATTGTTGGGCTGACATGAGCAGGTTAATTCGGTCGTATAATGAGAAGGGTGAGATTGAGCTTTGGGATAATCTACTAAATGTAGCTAAGATCAACGCAACTCCTGGTTCTTCCTGCCACTGTGTTGAACCTGGGTGGTTCAGGTTATGTTTTTCGACATTAAGTGAGAAGGACATTTCCGCAGTTATGCAACGTATCCAGAAAGTTTTGGAGTTACGTAAGTCTCTGAGTTAAGTTGCTAATGATATGATCCCTTACATTAGTCAACCGTGTAATCATAGGTCCAAAACTTCTGCAGAGATTTTAAGGGTCGAGTGTTGTGTGATTTTAATGGATCCATAAGTTATCAGTATCCTGATAATGAGGTGAGGATGCAGCAGCTCTGAGAACTAAATGCAGAGAAAACAAAATAAAAAGGCCAAATTGTATGCAGATGATTCCAGAAGTGTGTTCTTGGTCCTCTCCAACTTTGTCATTTTCACAAATGCATTCCTCCTCCCAGTTTATGGATTTTGAAGATAGGTAAATTAGCAGTCAAAGTTTATGCAAGGAAAAACATATAGCATATAGAAATGGCTTCAAATGAAATCCATTTCCAAATTCTTTGTGCATAGTCAATAAGTAAGGTCTTAAATCTTGATATTTTCTTATTATTTCTCATTGTTGTATAGTTACAGGTAGATGTATGTACTCATTATTTGTTCACATTCATTCTTGTGTTGGCACTAGATATGTAATTCGATAAATGAATCAATTTCTTTCATCCCTTCTAAGGTTGTTGATATGTGCATGTCAAAGGTAATTCTAACTGTAAAATGAAGAGCAATATTGTATGGTTATAAAAAGCTGTTGTTAAGCTGCATATGAGACAACAAAATGCATTTGGATCTTACAGGAAAAGAATGACTTTATTGTAAACTTACAATGACCAATTGATTAAAAGAATCACAAATCAAAATACTAAAGAATCTTCTCTTTGTACTAAAAGCTGTCACCTCCTAATCACTCAGATTCCAAATTCAAGAATATGGCTGATACTATAAGTTGGTCTGCGCGCGCCTCTCTTATTTGAGACCCTTTCTGATTCCCTCGTCGAATCTCATAAGTAGTGAGTCTAGCACAACAGCCAGACTACTCTTTTCTCATTCTATGAACAGCTGCTGTTTCAAATAGTCTTATGGCTCTACTAAATCTTTACTATGATCCCAAGCCATTCCTGATGGACTCAAGAACCTGTACTACCTCAGCCATGCTTGGTCTCCTTGAGGATATTTCAGAAGTACAAATTAAGCCTAACTTCATTACCTGAATCAGCTCATTTTCTGCATAGCCCCTCAAACTTCTATCGAAACAGTCTGAAGCAGCACCCCTTTCTATCAATCCTCTAACATATTCACACAAGACCACCACTTCATTTGCTATTGGGCTCTCTACTGGTTTCCTCCCAGTGACCAACTCCAGCAGAATCACCCCGAAACTGTAAACGTCACATTTATCACTTAGTCTCAGACTTTGCGCCAACTCTGGTGCAACGTAACCAACTGCATTGTGAAATTTGGTTAGTCCATAATTGTCTAGCAGGGGAAGGAACCTACTCAGGCCATAATCAGTCAATTTGGCTTCATAGTTTGTGTCCAGGAGTATATTAGTGGACTTGACATTAAGATGAAGGACAGGAGGTTTGCAATCATGGTGAAGATATGTGAGCGCTCGAGCTGTTCCAACTGCTATCTGAAACCTTCTTGGCCAATTCAATTCTGGGTTACCAGCACCAGTGCTGGTTCCAGGATAACTAAGTCCATGCAAATTGTCATATAGGTTTCCATTCGGAACAAACTCCGACAATATTAACTGCATGCTAGAGGACCAGTAGTACCCTTGTAAAGCAACAAGATTGGGGTGCTGAAGGGTCCCTAACCGGCCAACTTCATGCTCAAATTCATCTTGATTTCTGATTTGCCCCAATGTCTCGAGCTTTTTCACTGCAATTGATACACCACCTTCAAAGGAAGTTCTGTAAACTGATCCAATTGTTCCCCCACCAATCAAAGACTCCTTGTCTAGCAAGGCTTTTGTGCCAGCCTCCCAGTCCTCATATTTTGAAGGCAAAGTCTTGCTGAAAAGAACCAACTTTCCTATAATGACATTTGAATCTGTTGAAGCCAGTGGCGTGCTCTCTAGAACAAATGTTTCATCCTCTCTCCTCCTTCTACGTCGAGCCTTCATATTGATGATGGTTATCAAACAAACGCCTGTTAGGATTATTGAAGCAGCTACAATAGCAACAATAGCTGAGACACTCAATTTTGGTTTCCCTTTTGCTAGAGTAGTGCCACTGGCAGTGCATGAAACTTCTAAAGGATCACCACAAAGACCACTATTATGAAAAAAGGCTGAGGGTCCAAACTTCTTGATGCTCTCAATTGAGGGAATAGCACCAGATAGAAGATTGTAAGATACATTAAAATGAGTTAAATTTTGCAAATCCCCAAGAGCAACAGGGATTGACCCAGACAGCAGATTTTGTGATAAATCCAAAAAATGCAAGTTAGACAAATTCCCAATGGTTGATGGAATACTTCCATTCAGTTGGTTATGATGTAAGTCAAGATATACAAGGTTTGACAAGTTGTACAGGTTTTGTGGTATTTCTCCTACTAAAAGATTCCCAGATAGATCCCTGCAGCAAATATTAGACGTTTCAATTCCAGTTCAAAGCAATGACGAAATGAACAAATTAAACTAAGATGGTAATATACTCACAGTTGAAGAAGAAGCTTGCAGTTGCTTATCTCATATGGGATTTCACCAAATAGGGTGAGATTATGGAGGTCCAAAACTGCAAGCCATTCGATACCACCAAGTTCGGCTGGAATTGTCCCGCCTAACAAATTATCACCCAATCGAATAACGGAAAGGCTTTTCAAATCTGCAAGCTCAATAGGGATACTTCCATTAATTCTGTTATATGCCATGTCCAAGTATTTCAACGTGTTGCATTTCGAGATGCTCAAGGGAATTTCGCCAAAAAAATTATTCCTTGAAACATCCAACACTTCCAGTCTCTGGCTACAAGTTCCAGAGTTAACAATCTCCCCTTCAAAATCATTATTTGAAACATTGAAATATGTAAGATTCACCAGCTCAAGAACTCCGAAAGGAGCCAAACCAGAGAACTCATTGCTACCAAGATCCAAAAGCTCCAACCTTTGACATGGAGAAACCTGTTCTTGAACAAGTCCTGATAGTGCATTGCTCCTCACAGACAAGTACACTAATCCTGGAATGTCACAAATTTGTGAAGGTAAACTTCCACTTAGACCATTAAAAGACAAGTCTATTCCTTCAAGACTCTGACAGTTTCCAATTGATGCTGGAATTGAACCTGAAAGATTGTTATGGGACAAGGAAATGAACCTTGTTTTGTTACAATTCACAAACAAAGACACAGGAATTTCACCACTATACACATTTCTTGACAAATCAAGGAACCTTATATTAGGTAAATCCCCAAGAAATTCAGGAATTGAACCAGAAAAGGCATTAGAGCTGAAGTTAATCTTCCACAATGAATCAATCCCCCCATACTCTGCAGGAATATTGCCAGTAAATTGGTTCCCAAACAAGGTAAGGATGCGCAAAGACTTAAGTTCTGCTAAGGCAGGGGAGAGAACCCCACCAAGACTAGTGTTCCACAACACAATCTTCACCACATTTCCAACAGAATTGCAGAAAACACCACTAAAGTCTAGGCAAGGAGTTCCATTAGGATCCCAAGAAGCTAAACTATTAAAAGGGTCAGTAGAAATGTTACCCTTGAACTGAAGAAGGATCTCCTTTTCAGTGATGGGAGATACCAATTCCAATTCAATCAAACAAAAACACCAAACTAAAACAACACAATGAACAAATGTACCTAATTTTCTCATGTTCCCCAGCACAAACACTCAAACATTATCATAGCTGGATCCAATCTTGGAACTTGTTGATCTCTACTTCTCCAGACACCCTTTTGCCTTTTCTCAAATGAGGTTCAATTATCAAAAATACAAGATTTCGATCTTGACTAAACAAAAGCATTTTAAATACTTACTCAGTATCTTCTTAAAACAAGAAAGTAATTAAAGTGCATTTATTGGGTATAGCTTAAAATTCTATGATTTGGTACTCTTTTCTTGAATGAAACAATAAAGTTTGGAACTTTGGGTATTTTGTACATCTGGTGTTTGAGTTACTAACCCTAAATTCTATAATTTTGCAGAATTTCAAGAAAAATGAAGATTTCAAGAAAGTGGGCTTAAGAAGAGAGAACCCCAAAACAAAAAAAATGAAATTTTTAGAACTGCTATTACTAGTCTGGCTGGCAATGACATGCAAAACAGAGTACAAAACTAGTGGGATGCAAGGTGAAAATGCCTGGCTTTGCTGAAAAAGGTTGTTGATCTGCCAGTTTTTTTTTTGTTTTGATTTAATAGAGAAACTGCTGAAATATTTTTGACGGTTGTCTCCACATGGTCATCTTCTCCTTTTAACCACACTCAAGAATGAAAGATTTAGGGCGAGTTTTACTGGTTCAAACTGAATTTATTATTTTTTAAGAAAAAATATATAAGTATTTTTGAATTTACGTTTGAATTTTTAGAGATATACTTGTAATATATTAAAATTTTATTATTTTTGAACTTATTTAATACATAATTTTTTACTTTTTTCGGCCTACGTGACACTAGTTTGAAAAAAAAATGTCAACACGCACTGAACCCACAAGATAGTGCCACGTATATCAAAAAGAGGTAGAAAATTAGTTATACAATAATTTGAGGAAATAATAGGTAGTGTAGTATAAGTGTATCTCTGAGATTTCGAGTAAAGATCAGGGATAATTCTACATTTTTCCTATTTTTAATTAAAAATATATGTATAAAAAAGCAAGATATATATACATGTAACAACTCTAAAAATGTCACTCCGATTGATGGAATAACTCTATAAATGTCGGTAACTTTGTGTGAGATTCTTCAAAAGTAAATTATATATATACATGTAACAAGGTTGCATTAACCATGTCTTCTGATGTATATATACAAGATCGCTCGAACTAACGGACTCTACCGTTTGGATGGGCTTAATAAAAGCAGCTTTAAAAAAAGTACTTTTGAAAGTGCTGAAACTTATTTTTAAAATAAGCAGTTATGCGTTTAGATAAAAGTGCTGAAGTTGTTATGTCAAACGTGAAGAGGGAAAAATAGAAGAAAGAGATGTTAGGGTTATATGGGTAATTTGGAGATTGTATAAAAATATTAAGGGAAAAAACATAAAAATGTGGTCAACTTAAAACAGCTTATAAGCTAAAAAAAAAAAAGCACCCCTACCCCAGCTTTTAACTTTTGGCTTAAAATAAGTTTTTTTTAACTTAAAATAAGCTATTTTGAGTATTGTCAAACAGTTAAATAAGTCAAAAACCAGCTTTTAAGTCAGTTTGACCAGCTTTTAAGCTGAGCCAAACAGGCTCTAAATAATCTTTGACTCACTTGCTCTTCAAAAATGTCAATGTATTATATGTATAGTCCTTTAAAAGTATATAACAAGATTATACAAATTGTACGTAGACAAAATTACACAAAGCACACACACATACATGTCAGATTCTTTAAAAATAGTACTACATCTTAAAAAGATACGATACGAATGCAACAACAATTTTAAACTAACTCACCTAATTCTTTGATTATAAATTTGATGGTTAGTATAGAAAAGAAGTAA